CCTGCAGCGTGGGCCAGGATGGGCTCCGCGGCTGGGATGCAGGAGGAGAAAGGGAAGCACCTGGAGGGTGATGAGGGGCTGTGTGCGAGCTGGGGTGCCCATCACCGGAGTGTCAGGTCTGGATGTCAACACTCCCGGAGAGAGCAGGATTAGCACCTGTGTGCAGAGCAATGCACCCAGTCTTTCTATATTCTGTGCATAGGAAATCTTTTATTTCTTTATTTTTTTTCCCTTAATTTGAAATACTAATAATGCCCGTTCAGCTCCCGGCGCGCGGGGCCGCGGCGCTCGCTCTCCTCCTCGCTCCGCCGCCTCCGCTCCTTGCTGGCAGCCTCCCGCTAATAAAACGCGGCGTCTCCAGCGTGTCTGCCCGCACGCCCGGCTCGCACGCAGCCTCCCTTAACCCTTCGGATCCGGCACCCCAGGGACAGGGCTTGGGCGCCGCGGGGACGCTGCCGCCCCGGGGCTACGCGTGGGTTTCGGGTGGCTTTTTTCCCCTGTGTGAATATTGGGAGGGAGGATGCGCTGGGGGCTCCGGCTGGGATTTCCTGTGGGAAGCTCGGAGCAGGCGGCTCTGAGAGCATCGGGATGGAGTTTGGGGACGCCAGTCCCCAGGCGGGTTCCCGCACGCTGCCCGATGCGTCGGCACCGTGCGGAGCGGGAATGGGAACCAGAGTGATCCCTGCTGCTTCCCACAGTGCCAGGGTCCCGCTCCCCCCGCAAGCAGCTCCCAAGGTGCCGTTTGGGGTTTATTGCCCCAAATTGGAGGTGGTGGCAGGGTCCGAAGCCGCTGCCGTAGGGCAGCTGGGCGCAAAGCGGCCCCGGGCCAATCTTTGCAGGGGTGGCAGTGCCGGGATGCGCCGCTTCAAAGCAGCTGCCCCTCGGATCCAGGACAAATTCCCCCACTCTAAAGTGACGGGATTTGTCCTGGGTCGGGTGAGCCAGGCGGATTCACCCCAGGGCAGTGGCCAGGAGCCGGGTGCGACGCTTCGGTCCCCCGATCCCAAGGGATAAACAGTCCCCCCACTCATTCCTCCAGTTTGCGCAGCCAAAAACCTACTCGTTCCCGGTAATGAGGTAGGAAAGGCAGCAGGTTCCTGCATCCAGTGCAAAGAGCAACCTGGATTCCCCGGATTTCCCTCAGTGGCTGCACTGGAGCACAGTGCCGAGCTCCAGATTTCAGAACTTGTTTCTTTCTTTTTTTTTTTTTTCCCCTTTTTTTTAAAGAAAAAGCAAGCAGAAAAACAGAGCGAAACACTTCAGTTTTGATCAACTTTATACAAACGAACCTTATGTACACGCTTTTTTTTCCCCCCTTCACCCTTATTTATATAAGGCAACATAAATAAGATCCTCGGGACTGTACAACACATACGAACGCTTCTTAAAACAGCACTTTCTGCTTTTAAAAAAATAGCATCATTCTCTTAAAAAATATTAGAGTTTTTTTTAAAACCTGTTGTTGATTTATTTAAAAAATAGGCAATATTGGCTTTGCCATTAGCTTAAATGACACAGGTGGAGGCACTGTTAGAAAACGGACGTCAGCACGATCATTTTCTCTTTTAAAAAATAACTTAAGCCTTTCCCGAACAGTTTTAAATATTAAAATATCTTCTCCCCCCACCCCCCTTCTCTTTTAAATAACCACCTCGTGGCTCGAGCATCGTCCCGGGCGATTCCCGCACGGAGGCCGACGCGATTGCCCAGGTCCCATCGGCCCGGCCAGGATCGGGCGCCGTTTGCACCTGCCAAGCTTCGGCTCTGGATCCATCTCCCCACAGCAGGGATGGATTTAGATGCTGGAAAAGTGTCCAGAGAGTCCGGATCCAACACAGCAGGCTGCAAAGCGCCTCCCGCTTTTGTGGATGGATGGAGCCGTCGAAATGTCGCCGCTCTTTCTCATTTCCTCTTCCTCCTGG